TGATGAGTGCCACGCCGCGCTCAGACACCTGCAAATGGCAACACAAGAGGAACTACAAATGTGTTGCCGACCTTAAAAAACGAGGACACTCTTGATATGAATACATAACAAAAATTTTATCTAGAAAATACAAAAACCATCCTAATTTTACATCTCATATTGACAGCCCTATCTCCACTGTTACTTAGTTCAGATAATCTAATGACGTAACAACTCTTTGTGCCATTTAGATAATAATGGAATATTCCTATCTATATATCTGTCTGTGTTATTAAACGCCAAAAGAGTCCAAACATTAGTTTGATGAGTCATTGTCATTCATTGGTTGACAATGGGTTCTGTGAGCTAGTATCAGTAATGAATATTAGTCATCTCATTCTAAACATTAATTAGACTTTCCTAACTTTCAAAACATAAGGCAAAAGGAAACACATAACATAACATCACGCCTTTTATTCCCGAAAGGGTAGGCAGAAGCGCACATTATGCCACTGTACAATGTAACACCCACTGTTCTCTATTTATGTTATGAGTCCCATGTAATAGGGGGTGAGCCTATTGCCATATACCGGGCACAATTTCACAATCCATGCAACTACTGAGATTTTTTTGAAAACCCAGTAATACTTTGCCCGACCTAGGAATGGAACCCGAGACTCCTTTCCCGGCAGTCGTACTTGCGACCACTCGGCCAACGAGTACATCAATAACAATATAAATTTATTTCTATCTTCTGTACATAAACTTTTCAAATAGCATGGTAGAAAAAAAATTAATAAATCCAGCCGTTTTCGAGATTTTCGCTGGTAATAAACATGCAATTAAAATTATAAAAGTAGATTTTAATTATTTATCTTAAGAATAAATGTTAATTTAAAACTAGCTTTATATGACATAGTAATATTTCTTCTGTTTATAAGTTAGTTGTTAACCGACTTAAAAAAAAGGAGGTTTTTAGTTTTTTGTAGTGATTATCATGCGATAGCCTGAACCGATTTTGATGGGATTTTCATAAAACTGTTTGTTACACCTAGGACAAGGTTTTAGTATATTAACTCGTTGAGTACCGTCATTATAGACACAATTTAGAACAATAGGTTGCGGTCACCGGTGACCGCTTGGTGTTTGGCAGTTTAATTAACAGACTTTAAAAAAGAGAGAGTTGAAGTCGGCTTTTTTTAAAGCTAATTTATGAAAGAATTATCTTTAATTTATTGAAGACTATATTTTTATGATTAATAATAACTATGTTTTAACTACATGAAGGTTTAAAATAAACCAAACTAGACCTCTAAGTATCAAAAAATAAATTATAAGAAGCCTAATCAAATTTAAATACTATTTTTACTTAAGTATTTTAGTTATTATTGCATTGTGATTATCTTTATAATGTGAGTGAGTACATATAAGGTAATTTTATATTAATTATCTGGACAATCTAGTGTTAATAAATAAATGTTTAAATACAATTTACAGCTTAATTTTTTTAAATTAATTTTTTAAGAAAAAAAAATACTTTTATTTGAGTTCCTATTGTGTATTTATAAAACAAAATAACTTGTAATTCGTTATTATAGTATAGTCAGGACAAAATTGGCTGTAATTTCAGTAATGTCATAGTCAGCTGATGGAAACAAGGTCATTATAATGATTAATCAAAATAAAATGTTTTAAAATCATATAAATACCTAATTGCTAGAATTTCTTGTGTAAATGTATTGCCTAATTTATTAAAATTTGTTTTGCAGAAAAAATATTGTATTTGAACAATGGCATCAAAAAGTATTTGCATTAATTTTTTTAACAACAATAATTATTGCAATTATTTTTGAATTGCACATTAATAGATATCTGACAATACATTACTGATGCTGCAGATTCAAAGTAATGAATAAAAAGCAATAGATTCATACAGAATTAATGTCTTTGTGACCTTTGTACGATATAGTAAATGCCAATACTCACTTTCATCTTCTGTGGTATGTGCGCCTTTCTTGATATAAATATCCAATTTCACAGGATGGTGTATCGAACGCTGTATCTTTATACGAATGCACAGTCCTATTAGCGTCGCCAGCGAACAATGAGGCACTGTAGGATTGTATTCCACTCGTAACACGGGAACTTTATCGGCAGTAGGCTCCTTCACAAAAATTCCCTCTTCGTAAACCACCTTCAAATCTTCGAGCGTACTCGGCTTTTCAGGGTCCCGTATCGTCCGCAAAAAGTCTAAAACACCACAACACACGTTAAAGCCACAAATAACCAACCCAATTAGTCCAAAACAACACGAAAACTGATCAAAACAAACCGTATATTGTTTCTTTCAAGTCGTTCTCATCTCTATACCCTAACTCCTGTAGTGTCGCACTTTTGTCCATATAAGCTGGCTTCGCGAGCTCCACTGGCGGCTTTTGTGAGTTATTTAGAGAGAGTTTTGAGAAGAACGATATCATATCGTTTGGTAGAAATTAAATCTGTTCCGCTAGGTCACAGTCACAAGTCGGACATGTTTGTTTTGTTGGAGCTACATATTTTCCCGTACGTTGTCTATGGACTCACGGATGCGTTCAGAATAGAATACTTTGTTGAGTATGTACACAAAGGACTTCCCGCCATTTTGAAAGTTGAATGGGCGGCGGGCGCGAGTGAGGGACATCTATAGTTATCTGTTATCTCACTCTCTACCTGAGTTGGGATCATGGTCTCATGGAACATAGCTGCAGGCTGTATTGTGAATTTATGATATTGAAGAAGAAAGGTGTTCACCTTGCTTTTAACAACAGACATTTGTATTTCGTGTTCAAAAAATTGTATTTTTTCTTCGATTTACCGTATTTATTTAAAAGTACGGATTATTGGGTCAGATATTGCATTGCGACCTGTTACCTGTTGCAATGTACCGTATATTTTGTATGACATATTATATTATGAAATACTTACTCAAAATGAATAAATAAATACACGTGTGAAAACGGAGATGTAATCGGTATTACTCGGTATAGGAGATATAATGCTTATTTTGAATATTTCTATATTACATACGTATATTATTCGGTGTAATAATTGGTACTAGTAAGTAAATTTTTTTAAAATAACATGAAAACCTATGTAAAAATATTACAACAATACAAATTAAGACAATTTCGTCACAAGGGTTCGTAGGCCTACTTACGTACAATTTTTTATGCCATGTGAACTTTGTTTCCCTGTCCCCTATAACTGGGGACAGGAAAACAACGCAGGGACAGGTCTTTTGTTCGGATTTTGTCATCGCTATTTAAGGGATTACGAATGTCTTGAATAGGTATTTCAATCACGTAAATAATTTTTTTTTTTATTTATTTATTTATCTTTATCTCACACAGGTAAGTATTTTATAATCTAAGCCCCACAAAACCGTTGCAATGGTTTGACTGCGGGGTCGAGTCAATTCAAGTCAAGAGTAAATTGATATACCTACCTAATTAAATCAAAGATGAAACGGAAAAACGTATTTAATTTCTTATCCCTAAATCACATTCAAACTACTTATGAACTAAATACCTATGATTCTACAAAGTTTGTTTAACGTTACGTTAACGTTTAACGTTCCGTTAATATTAAGAGCAATATTCATTAGACCTAGTGTTTCTCTTAATTTAACTAAAGTGTAAGTAATTAAAACATTTTTGTTTTTTAGTTGTGTCAACTAGAGTAATTTACGACAAAGGGAATGTTAAAGGGCCATAAAAATAATAAGACTTACCAATATTGTAAGAGACAACTTTAAAGAAACTGTGAACTTGAATGATTGAAGAAACTTAGTAAAACACTGGATAACTAATACAGTAGGTTATCACTTTAGCACTGTTTATGTCAGTTTGCTTACGATTACATCATACGCATCATCGTGATGCTTATGCAAGTTTGACTGCGAAATACAAAAGAGAATTTTTTGTGACATTTTTTTTATGAACATTTTCGGAAATGTGAACGCTGTTCATAGACAACGGTGTCAATTTACTTGTCACGCGTTGTCACGGGAAAATAACATTAAAACTAACCACCAGTTTGAACTAGATGTCGCTGTTACAAAATTTAAATTAATTTCATGATGTTCGTCACGTAGGTGTAACACGTCTTGTTTTGGGAAGCGAATTATGGTAATTCCAATGTTCAGGAAATACTGAAGAAAAGCATTGAGTTTGTTTACTAAAAATATCCTTGTTCATGGACCTAGCTTTTCACTCGAGTGCTTGTGGCTCAGGGTTAATACCTAGCGAATTAATTTATAACTTTAATTCTACGCAGTTTCAGTCATGGATAACTGGTGAACGAAGTACCGACCAACGTTTGATTAATTTTACTAACGCAGTTTCAGTCGTCTAGATAGATACCTAGCCTAGCTAGGTGTGGTATGATGTCCTAATCTTTAACGGTAATTTTCCAAATAAGCACCTACCGGTCTAGGTCTATTAAATTGCACGCTGTTAACTTTTTGTCAGTTATTTTATTACAAATCCCATCTAATGAGCAGATTGTTAGACAGAACTCATCAGTATCACATGCGTTGCAATTGTGGAACATATTATTGATGGTGCAACTAATTCTGAAGAATAAGTATTAAATTTTGCAATGGCCTACCCGGCCTGACAGTTCCACAAGCCATAAGACCGCAGAGGACAGGGGCGTATAGAGGGTTGTGCATTAAGTGACGCGAGCACCAGACTTGACACGACCTTTAGTCATTCACTAGGATTTTCTCGTGTCGTGGGTGCGCTTACAAACATACAATATCACATACACATGACAGCCAGACCCGGGCCCGGAACACAGAATCGTTCCGTGCGGGAATCGAACCCGCGGCACGTTGCACGACAGCCAGTTGCCCAGCCATCGCGCCAACCGTGCAGTCAATTTACTTTTATTATATTCTCCTCAATCCATACGGACATTATAATTAAGTACCTAACTGTAAGAATTAGATTAAACACACACAAACAAAAAAAAAAACAAAATACTTAAAACATAAGTTTATTTAGAACTTTTTGAAGGATTTTTTGGAGCCCTTGCCCTTCGTGACTTTGAGTACGTTAAAACGGATGGTCTTGGAGAGCGGCCGGCACTCGCCGATTGTCACGATGTCTCCGAGTTCAACGTCCCTGGAATTGTACAAAAGAGTATGTTAAAGAAAACAGTTCATTACATTTTATGTTGTCTGTGGTAAGGTGTGGAATCAGAGTTTGGGTTAGAAACACGTCTTTCGTCAATTGTTGTTCGGAAGACCGTCGTGTGAGTATCATCATTTAGATTACTAATCACTACAATACCTCTTAGTGCATTGAAGGCCGAAAGCCAACACATTAGTTAAGATTTTGTTTTAAAACTTTACAGTCTGAACAGTCTGGTTGGCGCCAAAATCAAGTCCTATTTGAGTAAAATTATGAAAATTCTTGGTTTGCTCACCTGAAGCATGGAGATAAATGGACCGACATGTTTCTGTGACGTTTCTCGAATCTATTGTACTTAGGCAGGTAGTGCAGGTAGTCACGTCTGATGACGATGGTCCTCTGCATCTTCATCTTCTGGACCACTCCGGTGAGGATACGACCACGGATCGACACGTTACCAGTGAATGGGCACTTCTTGTCGATGTATGTGCCTTCGATCGCCTGAATTGTAATAAAGAAATTGAGTATTTCATTATGGTTTGGTTTTATGTTAGTTTGCTTTGAAGCGGTTTTGTTTCCTTAGCCCGATGAGTTTATGATACCTTTATGGTAATTTTTTTATGTAGCAGTGAAATCCTGTACTTTGTTATGCACTCTATTTACTGCTCTTTAGCAAGAGGAAACCAGCCCTCTTTATAATATGTACAACTTCCTTAATTTGCCGATAAAGTAGGCTGTACTTTTAAGTATTACAAGAATTATCTAGTCTAGTAGTAGACTCAGCCATTAGTCTGAGGGACTAAATAATAAAATGTTTAAATTGAGTAATCAATAGAAGAATCAAGAATTTCGTCAAATGCATATATTATGTTCTAATGCCGGGTTCACACGCTTGGCAAACACGAACATGTTCGTATGTGTGTGTCCGTTTTTGTTTATGTTTGCCACTGTTCTGAATCAGTTTCGAACAGTGGCGAAAATAACTTAACTGTTTGGCGAACAGTTAAAGAGAACAGTGGCGAATATAACCGAGATCCAAAGGCTGTTCGGCGAACAGTTAACAATGTGTCCACATGCTTGTTCGTCGGTGTTTGGGACTTTACGAGTGTGGACGGGACATAATACTCAGCACGTTATTCACTGCTACACTATATTAATTACAAAAGTAATGGAGAACTATATTTTTAAGTACACTTGTATGACTATAATCAGAATTTGGGTTAGAACACGTTCTTCGTCACTTGTTTGTCAGAAGACCGTCGTGTGGGTATCATCATGTTAGAGTCATTACAAATGTATCTTCCTTTCCCAGATCATGCAATTTAATGATAAATTATTGAGTGTAATACTTCCACCTTTTTGAATAAACAATCTTAATTATTTTTATGTTATGATGAAGCTGTTAAGTTTATTTGTAACCTGTTTGAGAAGTTTAAACATAATGCGCTTTATCAAATTTTATTTTTATTCTTACAGTTTTGTCTTTAGTATTTAACTGAATGATGACATCACGCAATTGTTATTTAGTTTGCTTTAAAAGAGTTAAAACTTTAGTTTATATTATGGGAGTAATCTATTATAATTAGGAAATACTTTATACAATTTACAAAGGGATATTTAGGGGCAATGATCATAACAAATAGAGCCTAATACTTAAACATACTTAAAAATAAATAACAATAAGTTATGTACATAATCTTAAGTATTATAAACATGGTTACATCGAGAGCAGCATGCATACCATACCTTATGATGGATGATTGTACCTATCATAATTATAAAACAAGATGAGACTGATACCTGATATTGGGAATCATCATTTTGATACTTAACATGCAAAGAATATGGTTTAGACTTGTTTCAATAGGTATTGTCTAAAGTTTTTTTAAGGTTGAGCAATGCCCAATGCAGTTATATTTCTTTAAAGTAACATTTTGCATTGCATTATTTATTGCACTTTTCCCATAATGTATTGTATAAAAGTATCAAAATGGAAAATCCCAATATAAATGAGTTACTGGACAGTTCCAGCCATGCACATGTTAAAGCAAGCTCCTCCTGACCAACATGGAACGGCTTTGTGAGCAATTGACTTGAAAATTTTGCAATCATCTCAATTTTTTTATTTTTCTTCTTAGAGATGAGAGAGCCTCTACAAAAACTTACACTATAAATTCTTGTAAAAGAAATGTTATGAAAAAACTTTTATATCTGTAATCTTGAATACATTAATAATGTAAGTTAAAGTTCAAATTAATAATGCAGTCAATTGAACACAAAACAAACAACGTAGCCACCACCGCTGCAAGCCTCGTTCCCATCGACCATATCTAAAAGTACCACACCTCACGCGGAGTCTTGAAACCAAGACCGACATTCTTAGAATGTCTCATGTCTTTCCTCTTCAGTCCCCCCTTCTTGTTGAGGAAGACCGTAGCCTGCTTCTGAAACGCTTTCTCTGTCTACGGAAAAATAAACACGTTAGTTCACACATCATGCCTTTACCTCGCGAGGTGTTTTGAAACCGAGTCCCACATCTTTGTGGTACCTCAGTGGTTTCCTGCTACGCTTCACACCGATACCCTTTTTACGGTTCAAGAAAACCGTTGGTTGCTTTTGGAATGAACGTTCCGTCTGTAATTTTATCAATACATTAGTATTATGATAAAATATTGCTACTTCTAACTACTGCGAGTGTGAAGGTAAGAGTTAAGCATAGGACGGAAGAAACCAAGGTGTAAAGCAACTACAAACTACAGCTGAAAAGAAACATTCTAGAAATTGAAAGTAAAGAAATTATAAGAACACACAATATTAGACTTTCTAATGATAGTGTTATACTTAAAATTAATAGAAATCAATGATATTCTGAAAACTAGACATTTAGTATTAGTTTCAGCCACTATTCATGTGCTAATTTTATAGCAAATAGACAATTTCGAGATATTGAAGATTTTTGATGACCATAATCAGAGTTTGGGTTAGAACACGTTCTTCGTCATTTGTTTATCAGAAGACCGTCGTGTGGGTATCATCATGTTAAAGTCATTATTGCAAGAATCTTCAATACTCTTATTTTTTATCTTGTTTGTTCTAAGATATTAGATCTGGTTTGATTTCCATCTAGTATACATTTTGTTTAGTAATTTAACATAATCTTAGGACTGTAAATAAACTAAACTTGATTGAAATAAAGAATTGCTAGAATGAATGTTTTGAAGTGGTGCAAGTTTTGGTTTGGTTGGTTTCCTGTAATCGTACTTATAGCTTGGACAATGTTTTAGAGCTACAAAGGTGATTATCACATTCATCCACGATTGTACACAGTAGTAGTCGTTGAATATCGAAAAATTTCACATGTAAACATAACCTCCAAACCGGTTGTGAGACTTAATTTTTGACATTTTCGAGTCTATAATTTTAATAACACGAGTTATTATGATTTTATTCGTGTAACATACATTATAATTTCAAAGAAATGGTTAGCAATCGGTACAAAAACTAACCTATCGATCGAGCACACTGTCATTTCGAAATAAATATTTCTGTACACTGGTAGCAAAAAGTGAAATTTTAACCGAAACTATAAAAAATCTGATGGAAATACTTTGATTTATAACAACTTTGAACACATTTTGATAGCCTTTTCGACGAAAAAGCCGAATCCCACGTGCACCAACTTAAAAACCACATTTTCACAAATTTCACAGTTTTAACACTTGGAAATCATAGCACAGATAGAAAGTTATCAATTTAAAAACACTTTATGGAGGAATTCATCAAAATTTATCTATATTTCGAATTAATTTATCAAGAAAACCAACACGTACCTGATCCGCCATCTTGCTTGACAACGAAAAGAAGGTCGTGTTGCAAATTAATAACTAATGAAAGCTCCTAGCCAAAAATAAAGAATATTGCCAATTAACATAATCTTGAAAATACTTATGTACTTGATTTTAAGAATTCTTACGTTGAAAGAAAAATCAAAGAGTATAATAAAACAGTGAAATAATTTTTATGACATTATATTGCAAACTGAAACAGAAAAAGAATTGAAAAACATTTTTTAGATTCATTAATAGTTTTTATGCGGTAGGATACGGTAGGTTTTGTAATTTGTATTTCTGTTATTGAGAAAATATCAAAATGACTACCATTTCATCTATTTAATATGTTTTTGATATTGATTATCACAAAAACAAAAAACTAAAAAATCCGTTACAAAATGATAAAATTACTTTTTGCTACAGGCAATTACAATAGGGAGCATCTTGCATCGATTTTCATGTATTGTAACATTTATAAACGAAACTGTCACAACGCGAGTTGTTATGAAAATAATCGCTAACTTATTTTTCGCATTTTCGTCTGTTCTTAACGTTTAACTCTATAATTTTATTTTATTGCATTTTTTATTTTACATTTACCTCATATTAGTTTCAAACTGCTTTCCGATGTTCACGTAGTGATCACTATACTCGAGTGATGTTTCGGGATCTACCTTTTTGTTTTGTCCAGAAATATAAAATTTCTGGTTGATTTGCGATGGAGGAAGTGAGGCAGCTGGTGCAGGAGGAAGGCAGAGAGGCGCGGAACCTAGTTGCATTCCATGTGGCCGTCGACCAACCAAGTAAATGCATTTTTTTATTGTGTATATATGAATGTGCGTCAAAATATTTTTGGCCGTGGGCGGTAGGATTTGTTTCGGAAAACGTCGATAAAGGAGTGCCTCCTAGATAATAGACCATGATTTATAGCGCATATACCATTAAAACATCCAGAATGTAGTCTTTGTGTGTTCATTCAGAATAAGGCAGAATAGGAGGGTACCTTTGCGTCTTTGCGTCCGTAAAACATGTTTTGTTTTGAACACCATTTATGTTTTGGGTAATCAATTATTACGCGGTTCAAATGCACGGTCAATTAAAACTATGATAAACAATTTAGAATGTAACTTGAGCTTATAGTCACTGTAAAGTCACAATAAAGTTTTATCCTGTACCTTCAAACCTATTTGACCATTTTTTTGTATGCACATCTGCACTTATTAGAATTAGCAACCTTTCTTTGTCCTTATATTAGAAGGTTTTTTTGCATCATTTATAGTTCTATGGCATCTTTATAAGGCTGCTGCAAGACCTGTAATATATTTAGGGACTACATTTAACCATTGTTCTGTAGTCTATATCTACACTAAAAGAACCTCTATTCCTTAGAAACTACTTTGTAATAAAAGGAGGTAGATGATTAAAGAAACAGTTGAACATTTTTAACAAAGAGTTTTTATTCTCAAATTAATTGTAACTTACACATAGGTTTGTATTTAGTTGGTCATAAAAGTAATATCATTGTTCATTCAAGCATATTACTAAAAATGGTATTACAGCACAGTTTGAATAATAGCTTGTTTATCCCTAAGCAGTATGGCATTGTATTCATTCTGTAAACTAAAAATAATTATGAATATTACAAAATTAAAGTACAATGAATGTCATTGTATACACTTTTTACCATGACCTCACAGAAAACAATGTTTGCAAGAGTGGTTGAGTTCATGAGGTTACTGGGGGCTCAAACCTTATCCCCTCAGCTGTAATCCAAAAAACCTACTGGGGGCTATTCACCAGATGGCGCAACTAGTAGCAAGAGGTTTTTTATCCAATCACTGCAGCTGTCAAATATTGAACACCCAATGGTGCGACTCCAGCTAATTTCCTATTGGACGAAAAACTAAAGGCACATAATATACTGCATGCGCACCATCTGGTTACCAAAAATACAGTAACCCTGTTCTTTAAATCTTTAAATATCCAAAATGTCAGCACCATAATAACAACTCTCTCTTAAATTATAGGTGGACCTGATCACAAACCATCAGAATATCAGTTGAAACCAGTTTGAATCTGGAGCTGTGTCCAATAAGATCACCTCCTATTTTGTTGTAACATACATACATAGTGAAAATGTGCTAAAGCAAATGCTTTTTATGAACATAAAGCTCTTTACTTTCAAATTAGAAAACTAATAGAGTTACACCCAACTCCGAAAGTGATGCTATTTAAAAAAAAAAAATAATTCTTGTAATTATGACTTTTCTACTATACATATAAGGTGTTATGGATTTACATTAGCATACTAATACATAGCTAATTTCTAAGAAATGTTGACTAATCGAAGCTGTTTAGACAGATGCGGTTCCTTGTAGTTTGTTATCAACCAGTGATTAGTCATCAGCTTTAAATAGTTTGGTATGTCATTGTAGTGGGCAATCAACTTTTTAGTTAATCAACAGCCAACATCCTTACCGATTTATGAAGAGGAAGTTTTTGGTTTGTAATAGGAGGGAAAAAAAACAGAACTGATTAAAAAAAGAACTTTAACCCCTTTTATTTAGGTTTAATTTTTGTATGCGATCATGGGAATGACGTGTTCGATTTAAGATAAAAGCCTTACATTTATAAAATAAAGATAAAAAAGTCTATTGAGTCATATTTGTATAGCTCCGTTACTACTGTTGACATACATTTAAACTTTTTGGTAGGTATTCTCTTGAAGTAAACGATGAGGATTGACATAAACATAGTACAATTGTTAGCAATTGTACTATGTTTATGTCATGTATACTACCAAGAGCAAATGTTAGCATTTGCTCTTGGTAGTCTTGCTGCCTAACTAACTACCTATTTTTACCCAGGATTGTTTAAGAATGAAAAAAAAACGTAAAGAGATTCTCTTTGTGATTTAAGAACCTTCGCAAATCAAGGACTTAAGTAAAGTCTAAAATTGAGAGCAGATACTGAGAAACAATAACAGCACTGCAACAGTATTCTTATAATTTGCTGTAACCAAATAATCCACAAGCCGCCTGCATCTCATCATCATCAACAGCCTATAAATGCCCACTGCTGAGCAAAGCCTCTTCTCACACGGAGAAGGTTTGAACTTGCTCAATGCGGGTTGGCGATGTCATACTTATAATTAGAAATTATAAGCCCAGGTTTCCTCACGATGTTTTCCTTCACTGTTTGTCAGTGGTGTCTAAATAATCTTAGAAAGTTTTTTTATTTTTTTATGGCATAAGCCGGTCAATGAACTGACGGATCACCTGATGGAAAGTACATATAACTCGGAAAAAGTCACATTGGTACTTATAATTAGAAATTATAAGCTCAGGTTTCCTCACGATGTTTTCCTTCACCGTTTGTCAGTGGTGTCTAAATAATCTTAGAAAGTACATATAACTCGAAAAATGTCAAATTGGTACTTATAATTAGAAATTATAAGCTCAGGTTTCCTCACGATGTTTTCCTTCACCGTTTGTCAGTGGTGTCTAAAATAATCTTATAAAGTTTTTTTATATTTTTATGGCATAAGTCGATCAACGAGCTGACGGATCACCTAATGGAAAGTACATATAACTCGGAAAAAGTCACATTGGTACTTATAATTAGAAATTATAAGCCCAGGTTTCCTCACGATGTTTTCCTTCACCGTTTGTCAGTAGTGTCTAACTAATCTTAGAAAGTTTTTTTATTTTTTTATGGCATAAGCCGGTCAACGAGCTGACGGATCACCTGATGGAAAGTACATATAACTCGGAAAAAGTCACATTGGTACTTATAATTAGAAATTATAAGCCCAGGTTTCCTCAAGATGTTTTCCTTCACCGTTTGTCAGTGGTGTCTAAATAATCTTAGAAAGTTTTTTTTTATGGCTTAAGCCGGTAAACGAGCAGACGGATCACCTGATGGAAAGTACATATAACTCGGAAAAAGTCACAATGGTACTTGCCAATGGTAGGTTTCGAACCCGCACCCTCATACGTGAGAAGCGGGCGTCTTAAACCTCCGGGCCACCACGAATAGCATGGGAATTATACCAAACTTATCAGTTGCGGACATCTTTTGGATGATGAATTGATGACGACTAGTTGGGGATCTGTATCCGTAACCTTATTGCCTATCTTGGCTATCTAGTCACCCTATTGTGAGGGTATCGTAATTGCTTGCAACAATGTAAGTAAAGAGTTGTGCTCAATTGATTCGGCGGATAAGCGCACGTAACGCATCGAGGCACAATGGAACGCATCGTCAATTTGTTGTAACGAAATTTTATGGGCGGCGGCCTTCTGTGTTCAATAAAGAAATGTGTGATCGCAGAGACAAAATGGTTCGTTAGTTTTGTTTTCAGCGGTGAATCGAATAATACAACGAATCTACGAATTCTTTTATCCCTTGAATGTCAGAATATGGTAGATGAATAATTTTTATTTTATTGTCCGTCTAGTAGATTATTTTAAATCATTAGACACGTATTTTAATTTTTTACGGAAACGATAGATATATTGATTTGAAATGTCGCGTGACGTCACTTCTATATACATTTTATACGTAGAAATGACGTTTTAGCCCCCACTCCTAAACTTTGATTCGTTATATCTAAGTATCATTTTATTATACAACAAAATAAAAAATTACGTTTTTAATATTTTTTCATTACCTAACCGACGGACTTTATTAATTGTAATGGCTAATTATTGCATGTATAATTTTTAGAATATAGGTGTGTATTGTACAAATTCAAACACAATGTAATAATTGTTAATAAATAAATAAATGAAATGAAATGACTAATTTCATTTTTAATTTTCACATCCTGTCATGGTCATCATCCCTATTGTAGTAAGAATCAAGTTTCAGAACATTTCAAGAACTGCCATTTCTTTTCCTTAAATAAAAGTGCCATAGTAAGATCACTCCCTTGTGTTAGCAATAAAGGGCTGTAGTGTCTATGAGTTTCTGGTTAGAATTCCAAGTAGGGCAAAGTGTTATTTAGTTACTGGATTCAGGTTTATAAATTTTTTCCAGCAATTATTTTATGCCCTCTTCTCTTCTTAGTGGGAGCAAATCAACCGATTCAGTAATACCAAAGT